GGTTTTTATGACCCAGGCACACGCCGGTATCCCTTCTACAACATCGTAGGTGTTGATATTTTCAATTATTTTTCTTAGTCTGACCCAGCTGACGCTAGATAAATAAGTTCCTTTCTCCGAATCACCCTATGCAAGACGAGCAATGCCTCAGCTTGTTTCTAGGTCTGAAGCGATCAGAACAACCAGCAACCATACATAACACGTGTCAAAGCCTAAACCTCAGCCAACAAAATACACGTTGAATACATAGTGCATGCGACGACAACATTCTGGAAGTTCTGACATCGTCTGGAGTAAGCATTGAGAATTGGCATTGGGTGGATCCAGAATCGCGGGGAGCAATTGTGTCCAGGATTTCAGGCAACCAAAGCACACCTTGACCAGGTGAATGGCCTGATTTTATGGCCATCGTGTATGGGATAGGCTTCGCATTACTAGAAGCGCCTTTCTGCGATCGTTAAAACCGTATCAAGGAGGCATCCCTCCCGACACCGCGTCATCACAGACCGGCACTATCAGCAATCTAAACTAGCGTACTGCTGGAGTTCGCGTGTAAGTGCTCGTGCAAACAGATTATGTCCTGGCAAAGGCAGACGGTATCATACCTACAAGTTGGGAATAAACATTATTATTATTTATGTTAATTGGTGTTATTGGTTTGTGGGTGATCCCTGGCCGCAAAATGCTCTTTTCTGGAAAACTTTTTCGTGTGCATTATAAATATTCACATAAAAATGTTGCATTTTTTGCATGTGTTCAAACGAAAAACACTTTAGTCTTCATTCATTTTTTCGCAACTATTCTTGAATAGAATAATCTCTTAATTATTGGAGTTCAGTTGGTTTTGAAAATTCTGTTCTGTGGCTTTCGAATTAGCTTGAGATATTTTTGTTGACGGATCGGGGGTCATCTGCTTTTCATCCTTCACGAAATTTGAGTGTGCGTTAGAGGAATACATGAACGATAACAGTGTCATATTTGTGCGTGGCCAGTATTCGGGGCGCTAAACATTTTTGCGTCACAAGCGGGTGTACTACAAGTGCAGCAGGCTTTCTGCAAGACGAATAAAAAGTTGCGGAACCTGGATAAATTGAGTTTATTTACTGTCAACTTACAACATACGAAGCACTGGCTGTCCAGTGCGCCTTTGTCTACGGAGGCATGAGAACTATATCCCGGTCCTCAATTCTCATCTTGAACAAAACCATAAGGTGCCAAAATTTCTGAACAATTGAATTTCGGTATATCGACGACTAGCCAAAGATGAGTTATGCATATGCAGGACTCCGCTTAAGCATCGAACGCAATCGTGTAAAGTGCTAGATGCTGCAACCGATAGATTCTGCAAGGTATTTACCACCAAGGACACATGCAGCCACTGACGGTCGTGCTGGTCATCTCTGTTGAGCACGTGAGGTTTGTTGGATTACACTGTGTCACATGAGACTTCATTGATCCGCGAAAAAACTCAGGAGATCGGACGCGTGCTTACGCTGCGGTCAGGGGTTGTTAAAGCCATATTTTTTCCTCCAGATGACCGCAGACAGCTCTGTATTGACGCTTCCCGGATGTAATAAAGGTCGACGGAACGGGTAAGTTTTATGAAGCAACTCATATATGCTCTGTAGAACCAAGCACTACCCCCTCCTGCTTCCGGGTGAACTTAGTACCAGACGTCCGGTTAGGTAAACCTTCGTGGAAAGTGGACAGTTCCTTCTTGTTTGTAAAGCGTTCGGCTAGTTCGAGGAAATGATGAGAGAACCGTATTTCTAGGAGGCTTTTGTGATGGACAAAGTGGCGGAACAAATGTCTGTGGCAAAATCAATGTTTGCTGTGATGTCATGTTGTGCAATTTCCACATTAGAAAAGCTACCAGCATATATACCAGTGAAAGGAAGAAGAAAGTTGTGGAACCTGGATAAATTGAGTTTATTTACTGTCAACTTACAACATACGAAGCACTGGCTGTCCAGTGCGCCTTTGTCTACGGAGGCATGAGAACTATATCCGTAAAAAGTTGTGGAACCTGGATAAATTAAGTTGAGCTTATTTACTGTCAAATTACAGCATACGAAGCACTGGCTGTCCAGTGCGTTTTTGTCTACGGAGGCATGAGAACTATATCCCGGTCCTCACTCCTCATCTTGAACACAACCATAAGGTGCCAAACTTTCTGAACAATTGAATTTCGGTGTATCGACGAGTAGCCAAAGATGAGTTATGCATATGCAGGACTCTGCTTAAGCATCGAACGCAATCGTGTAAAGTGTTAGATTTTGCAACCGATAGATTCTGCAAGGTATTTACCACCAAGGACACATGCAGCCACTGACGGTCGTGCTGGTCATCTCTGTTGAGCACGTGAGGTTTGTTGGATTACACTGTGTCACATGAGACTTCATTGATCCGCGAAAAAACTCAGGAGATCGGACGCGTGCTTACGCTGCGGTCAGGGGTTGTTAAAGCCATATTTTTTCCTCCAGATGACCGCAGACAGCTCTGTATTGACGCTTCCCGGATGTAATAAAGGTCGACGGAACGGGTAAGTTTTATGAAGCAACTCATATATGCTCTGTAGAACCGGGCACTACCTCCTCCTGCTTCCGGGTGAACTTAGTACTAGACGTCCGGTTAGGTAAACCTTCGTGGAAAGTGGACAGTTCCTTCTTGTTTGTAAAGCGTTCGGCTAGTTCGAGGAAATGATGAGAGAACCGTATTTCTAGGAGGCTTTTGTGATGGACGAAGTGGCGGAACAAATGTCTGTGGCAAAATCAATGTTTGCTGTGATGTCATGTTGTGCAATTTCCACATTAGAAAAGCTACCAGCATATATACCAGTGAAAGGAAGAAGACCTTCGCTGCGGAGTTATTTATAAGAAAATGCCAGCTGACTTGTTACAGACTATCACACAGGGAAGCAAAACTCCGACGTGCATCCTATTTGCAAAAGTTGAACATCCATCTTCTCTTGAACGCGTCCTCCCGAACTGTCCAGGTTATGCATTAAATGTTCTCCGAACCCAAGTAAATGCTACAAAGCTACTTCACAAATTCCGCAGCTGATCTTTCTTTTCAAGAGACGGAAAGCAAATCTACCAGAACAAACATACTACTCGCATGTCTCCCCCATCGTTATTATCACCGTTCACCATTACATGTGTAATAACATATAACAAGATTGGCGTGTTCGATAACTCTATTCCGCTGCTTTATGACTGCGCCGATGCCGCGATCACTAGCGTCCGCTGCAATAGTGAACATCTCTCCGACCCTGGGCAGTTTGAGAGTCAGTTGCTGATTCAACACCTGCGCTTGGACACGCTCAAAAGTCCCATGTGCTTCTCCGGTCCATTCGACCTTCCGATTTTGCCCGAGCAAGTCGTACAGTGGCGCAGCGCTTGTGCTGAAATCCTTAACAAACCGGCTATGGTTTGCTTTTCGTTCAAGAAACCGCCGTATAAAACGCTTTGAATTGGGAACAACGCAGTCCTCGATCTTTGCCAATTTTTATGAAAGTGGGCTACTTTTCCGTGACCCAATTTATGCCACAACTGTGTCACCGAAATTCACGGGGGCTGGGTCTTGACTTCATTTATCGGCAGACCAGCCTCCCGGATCCGCTTCAGTACAGCCTTCAAGTGAACTGCGTGCTCTGGTTCCTAGTAGCTGTTCACACTGACGTCGTCTCCGTACACGGCGACATTCTGGAGTCCCTTCTTGAAATGAAGCATCAAGCGCCGGGATGTGAATGGAGCCTCAGACAAACCAAACCGCATTCGTCTTAATTGCTATTGGGTGCAACAACCGTAAACGCCATTTTCTCCCGGTCCTCCGCCGTGATAGGTAGCTGCCAGTATCCAAAAGGCAACTCAAACATAGCGAAATATCGGGAATGATGGGAGGAATCGAAAGTCTCCGCAACCGAAGGCAAGGCTACAACCCGATTTACGGTCAGTTCATTTAAGCGCCAGCAATCCACGCAAAACTTGTACTTTCCGTTCGCCTTTCTTACAAACACAACTGGAGAATTGTATGCACCACTGGCTTCTTTGATCATGTCATTCTTCAAAATCCCTTGAATCGGTGTATGGACCTCCTCCCATAGATGGAGCGGCGACGGACGAGGGCCATAAAGTCGAAAGCGTTCTGACGACAGAGGAATTTCGTTTTCAATTCACGGGCAGAAGCTAAACGAATCCTCATCGTCCACGAACAGTTTTGGAATACTCCTCGAACGCAGACCGTACTGACGGTACGTTAGAAATGGAAGTTTTCGGACACGCAACTCAATTGTGGCAGTACCTGGATAACCTTCAAGCCCGATTGAGCCATAACTTGTCACCAGCTTTCACTGCTTTAGGTCAATCACGGAATCTGTGACCTTGAGAAAACTCACCCCACA